TCATTGTCATGTTAGAAAAAATGCCCAACAGTGCGGGGAATGAGAAGAGGGTAGCATCTTCAGTTTCAGGTTTTTGTATTACATCACACAGTAGTGTGAATTCATGACAGCGTTGATAAAGTACAACTCCCTCACACCTTTAGCACTCATACATCCCTATAGAAGAGCTTTACTACCACTGAATGCCACTGTGGGAACCAGGCACTTCTCTCTGTACTCCTCCTCTAGCAACACCAGAACATTTTGGATGCTGTTAGATCCGAAATGATTGAATTGGTCTCATGAGACCAGAGTATGGATTCCCAGAAGTCTATATTTTGTAAATATGGGCCTTGGAAAAAGTTAAATGAGTTTATTGTGCTTTGGCTACAGTCGGTAGTTCTGGTGTGGATAAACAACCATGCATGTCACTTCTGCATGCTGCATCTTACTCTGTGAGATAAAGTGCCACTCTTTTCACAGCTTTTGCCGGCTCTGAGACACTTTCAGTGTTTCTCCTGCTCTTTTTCTAGCAAAAACTCACTCATCACTAAATGAAAGCTTAAAGTGAAGACCTGATTATTTCAGGGGCCTTTCCACAAGTCCATTGTTTTTGCATTTCTATGTTACTTTGGCTATATTTTCACACTTAAAACAATAATTTGGTATTCCTCTTGTATTGTCCTCTTTTATGCTAAGAAATAAATCTCCTGACAGTTCTCTCTCAAGTGGTTTCATTGTTGTCAGCTTTAAGTCCGAGTATGATTCAGTGGGCCATATAACACATAATTATCAAGAAATTACTTACCTTTAACAATTTTGGTTCAACATACTTACCTGTTGATCAATACTTGCCTTAACCTTACACCAGAATTTTTTGTTTTGTTTTGTTTTATTTAGTAACTTTCAGGAGGGTGTACTCATTTTTGTAACACAACATCTGATCACTTTGATAAGAAAATTGTATTTTCTTGAATAATTTTAACATTCTTCTTTGGTAACTGATCAAGCAGACTTGCTGGAATATTATATCTCTAAAAAACCATAACATGTCTTCTAAGCAAAGAGTAATTGCTGAATTTGTTAAGTTTCAGAGGGGGTGTACTCATTTATGCTGTGCACTGTGTGTGTGTGTGTGTGTATATATATATAAAATAAAATTCATAGAAATACAAAATAATAGAATAAAATAATACAAACATCTGTAAGAAATTTTTCAAGTTTTAAAAATCCTTTGTTTTTATATACTACATTTTTTTAATTAACTATAATTAGTCAACATCAACAATTGCCAATTTAATACATTTAGCAAATTGCTAAATGTCATGAATGAATTTAATAAGTTACAAATAAATTACTTCCCTGGTCATACATATGTGTCAGATTCATTGCTTTGTTATTCTTAAAATTTTTTTTAAATACCTTTAATAATCTGATCTAATTGTATTATTTGCTTCTATAATCAAAATGTAAGAATGTATAAGCCGCTGTTCCTTTCTGCTAATAGAACCATGACATTGAGGGCAGGGCCTAAATATTGACCAATGAATTTTTGGCTTAGTGCGTTCCAAAGTCAAATAATCCAATCAAATCCTGACAGATAAATCAAGTCCCGCCCTACATTACTTGTCTTTTAACATGTACACATCATATTACATCACTTTATGGAAGTTGAATGATATGAAAATGCCTTTTTGTAACTTTTTGCTTTGCTTTTGTCCTCCACGTGGTTGTGTTCTGAATTCTATCAGTGATTTTGCCAAGATATGATATATCTTGACATTTTCTGTTTTAGGTGAAATGTCATCAATACTGGCCAAATGTTTCGGCAAGTGGCACCTATGGAGGCTTTCAGGTTACATGTGTGTCAGAGGAAGGGAACTCAGCATACCTGCTCAGAGATTTGATGCTTACACACTTGGAGGTGACCTATCTCTTTAAATGTTTCTTATTTTTAGTGTAAATAGATTTCTGTGCTAATATCCGTTTGGATTTGTATTCAGAGTAAAGAAGAAAGGCAGATTTGTCAGATGCAGTACTTGGCATGGCCCGATCACGGCGTTCCAGAGGATTCGTCAGACTTCTTGAACTTTGTCAGTCAAGTACGCAGCAAAAGAGCGGATGCATCAGAACCCGTAGTGGTTCATTGCAGGTCATGCCTAAAAAATGTCCTGACAGTATCCACAATCAAGATCTCATAAGCTGAAAAATACACCATAATGGTGAACAAAATGTTTATTAACTCCACCCCTTTTTCTTCTAGCGCTGGGATTGGTCGCACCGGGGTGCTTATCACCATGGAGACAGCGATGTGTTTGATAGAAAATGGTCAGTCGGTGTATCCTTTAGACATCGTCAGAACCATGAGAGACCAGCGTGCCATGATGATCCAGACTCCTGTGAGTAGTCTAGCCCACATTGCAGCTCCTTCTGGCCAAGAACCGCCCACTTAGATAGGAAGAGACTGTTTGACTGACAAGTAATGTTACGTTTAGTATGTAGATGCGCATTTAAATGCAAAAGCTTTTTCCAAAAACAATTTATAGCAGTAGATTAATACAGACAGACTCTCTAAAAAATGCGTCAAACCAGTTAATTGAGTTGCATTGAATTGATCCACTACCGTTAACGTCGCGTTCAGATGCGCATTTACAGTATGGCAAATGCTTTTTCCCCAAAGCAATTTATAGTTCTGTCATGAGCTACAGGAACAATTTAGTTGAATTACTATTAAGTAACTCAAACAAAGTTTATAAATATCTAAGAGTCCATGCTACAAACTTTGCAAACTAATCGAACGATTAATTCTTCCCTTGTGTATTGATATTTTTCCCACAAAACAATTTTGAGTTCTACTATGAACTACAGGAACAATTTAGTTAACTTGCTATTAAGTATCTCAAAATATCTAAGATTCGACACTAAAAACTTTGCAAATTTTGGTTAATCCAATGACTAGTTCTTTCATGTTGGAAAACAGACTTTCAAAGATTGCGTAAAAGCAAATCTTATTGCGTTTGTGTGTAAATGCAGTTTTGTTTATTCTGAGTCACTTGACATCCATTTTGTTTGTTTTCAGAGCCAGTACCGTTTTGTCTGTGAAGCGATTCTGAAAGTTTACGATGAGGAGATCGTAAAGCCGTGCGAAACTGAGCCTCCGGTCGAAAAGGAAGAATGAACGCCGTCCTTCAACGTTTCGGAGGTTCTTCTGTGATTTACAACTACTGCCAGTGAGATCTGCGCTCAGCTCGCTGTCGCCCCCTGCTGGAAGGCAGCGGACATGACTGCCTGCAAGCTAGAATACAGACGAAAAAGCACTATTGCACTTTACAGCGACAAACAATGACTTAAGGATTTTTTGTAAAAAAACAAACAAACTAAATATCAGGTTACTGATGAGTTAGGTACTGTTAATAATGTTAGTTATTTGGGTTAGAGAAAGAAATTTGCTTTTGCTTTTGTGCCAAAAGCTGAAATGAGCCACAGTCCATGTCAGAATTAACTCTTGCAACTAACGACAGCACGTTTTATGTTTTATTTATTTGTTTTGGGGGATTTTTAACAGTGAACTTGAAAGCAACAGGTGCTCAGCCCATTCTCTTCCCTTTTCCCGACTGTGACTGTAATTGTTTTAACGTTTATGTTTGAAACATAAGTTAAAATCGTTAACATACTTTTTTTTTAAATTGTCGAACAAAAACAAAGCTTTTAACGATACATATTTAATTAGTTTTTACCCTGGCGCTTTAAAGATAGTCTTTAAAGTACTTAAGACTTTTGTAAAGTACTTTCGTTACTTGATAAAGTTTCCATGGTAGTTCTCTCTTTAGCGAAAATTAATTAATTTAGCGAAATTAACAGGCCACCAGCTGCGTTGAAAATGAGCCATGGTAAAGATGTTTCTTGCTGCCAAATTTCACAGCTGTTTGCCTCTAAAACTGATTGGTGTGTCGCTTTGGCTAATCGATATTTATTGCAAGGCTACGTGTAGTACGTAACGGCTGGCATTTGTATCGTTAAATATGCATCAGGCAGCTGTTCTTCTTTCAGATCCATGTTTTCCGGATCTTTGAAGCATTTTATTTAGAAAATAAAGCTGTGAATTTCACATTAGCTTCGTTGGCGGAAACTGGATTCTCAATTGATAAGTATGGACGCAAATTAAATGTTTAATGTGCGATTTAGTCTAGCGTTCTCTCTGGTTAGCGTAAAGATCATCACATATTCACAATTACCAATTTTCTTCCATGTTTACGATCAAATTTTCAAAACTTCTACTGTAAGAAACCGATTATCTTCAGATTTTAGTTGTTCATCTTGTATGAATAGTTTTGTGTTTTTCGTTGAGAAAAAGTATCTGCTCCACTCTCTGAAGATACCGGTTTAAATTCTGCTTATGATTGGTTATGCTTATCCATATCTCCTCTTCTCTAACTAGTTACCTGTTAGCAATTACCTGCAATATACTCAAAAGGTGGTCATAGTTCATTTAGTTCTTGCTATGACTGTAGAGATGATGGCATTTACAGAGCTCATTGGTCGCTTTAATGTTTTATTCACTGCAAGTGCAAAATTTAACGATCAATAAATTTAAAGTATTTTTAGTTTTTAAGTTATAATTTTCTGCATTCTGAAAAGAAAAGATATGTAAGAATTATGGAGCAAAACGTTTTTAATATGACACTCCGGACCATCGTAATTGTTTGCCAATGTTTTTATGAACATTTCCCCCTTACAATGTTTTGCGGTGCCATTGCACAAATGATTTGGCATTAAGGACCAATCACGCCCACCATTTTGAATGTGAGCCGATTTTGCTTCAGTTTACGTCATGATAGCGCAGCAGCTAGAAATTTACTACCGACTTTGCGTCGGAAGTGGTGGTATTTTTGTATTTAACAAAAAAACTAATAAAAAAAAAAGGACAGCACTTTGCAACTGACTGTGGTAGTCAGCTGTGCTACTGTAGAATTTATACTGTAATTGTGTGATGGGGGAAAATATGCGGTTTAATTATTTATGTTGAACATTTTGTCAAATACAGACACCTGTGGGGGTGGGGGGCTCTTAACTACATAGTGTCATATGTGAAATACTTGTAAATACAATGTTATATATTAAAAGTGTTCTGAAAAGATAATGGTGGTTATTTTTGTTTTAGTATGTTTTTAAAATGTCAGAAAAGTACACAGGAAATTGTATGTCATGTTTGTATATCTCCCAGTTGTGTTTGTACGTTTGTGAGAGAGCGAGTACGTCTTTTGTACAGACTGTTTTGTTTCTTACTGGCGTACCTTTTGAAATTGTGCTTAATTAAGCTGACTCGTCTTTTGGCGCTTGTGACACACGTCAAATCAAATATAATACAGCTCAAACTTCTATTTTCAGTGTTGTTTTTGATAAATATCGACCTGCTACTCATACAGGAATGAAAGAACAAACACATTTAATTTCGCAGCTTGTCTTTTTATTTTTTCTTGGCATTTCACATGAGATGTTGAACAGGGATCATTTAATCAGCCGTATTGAGGCTGAAAATTCATGCCAGCTTTATGGATCTCATTGCTGTCGTTTTTACTTCTTTATGACCTCAACGTCAACATCCTCTGTTCGAGAAACAACCTTTCCATCAACCATCTCTTCGATTACTGTGCGAACACGCTTGGTCACCACAGGTTCGGCTGGAGAGGAAAAAATAAAGAAGAATTGTAAGTTAAAAGCTACACAAATGCATGTAATTATCAACATTTTAATTGTATTTCAATTGAAATGATTTACATTGATTCATGTAGTATAATACATTTTTTCCCCCAAAAAAGGACACCCTTTAAAAACACTTACGCTTAGGAGGAGGAGTTACAATCTCTACAACTTTGATTGTCTGTCTCCTGTAACAAAAAAAATAAAAATAAATATCGTACAACTTTTGTGATCTTTATAAAGACAACGTTCATTTGTTTATTTGTAAAAACTTACTGCATTATCTCTCCATCCAGAAGTCTCCTGTACTCCGCGATCTCCAACTCTAGTCTGGTCTTGATGTCCAGGAGCAGTTTGTATTCACTGCCCTGTCTTTCGATGTCCATGCGCACCTGAGAAAGCTCCGCCTCCAGACCGTTAATGACGGCCTGCAATTGGCTGAGCTGGAGGCTGTACCGTGACTCTGTCTCTCCCAGTGTGCCTTCCAGTGCTGCTTTCTGTCAAAGCATAACGCATAGAAGAATGGTGAGGGTGCGTAATAAATTGCGTAAGTGGCTCCCTCTAGAGGCAGCTATTGCAAAATGTCTTTTTTTCAACATTATTGATTAAAGTTTGTAGAGAATTGAGCATAGAATAATAATTAGGGGTGTGGCTGTGCATGTTGGATAAAATGAATCTCCCCCCAAGTGGTTGTAGAAATGTTTTTAATATTAAATTAAAGTTAGTATGAATTGCAAAGAGAAAGAAAGACTTTTACCAAGCTGAGCTGTGACTGTAGTTCGATCTCCAGGCTCTGAAGCGTCCTCCTAAGCTCGCTGATTTCACTGCGGGACAATGTGATGTCTTCTTGTCTGGTGGTTACCGTCTTGTTCAGTTCGTCGAACTGTGGGGACAGAGATTTGAGGTCAATGTCTGAATGATTGTGTATGTTTTAGCCATTGAGAATAAGAACAAACACTTACTTTGCCCTTGTACCAGGACTCCATTTCTCTGCGGTTCTTATCAATGGCGCCCTCATACTGGTGTCGGATCTCCTCCAAGATGCGGGCCAGGTCTTGCTGAGGTGCGGCGTCAACCTCTACGTTTACGCTGCTGGAGGATATTTGAGCGCGAAGAGCTGCGAGTTCCTACAGAACAATGATATAGATGTTAGCTTATGCACCTTTTCGTACATTGCACATTTTTCAAAGAAATGGTTTGTTCTGAAAAGTGGCAATTGATATTGTAGGAGATGGAGGTGCTTGATCTTTGACTAGTGAAATTTCGCAAAATAGTTGCAAATTGCTCCCTCTAGCTGCAGCTAGCAGGAAATTTCTTTTTTAACATTCGTAATAAAAACTAGTGGGAATTTGAGCATAGGGTAATAATTAGGGGTCTGGCTATGCAGTTTCGATCCCCCTAGTGGTAGAGGAAGTTATTAAAATTTTACATTAACATTCACACAAAATTCCCAATTGCACGGATTCCTATTGGTGTGGTAAATGTGACCACACCTTAAAGCTTTGAACTCCAATGCTTCAGGTAACATTTAATTAGAGGACTAGGGTTTCTAATAGTGCCTAATTTTTTTAATTACACTTGATTGGAGAAGATTATTGGTTTGGTGGATTATTTGGTAATGATCTTGCTTCACTGCACCAGGTTTGTCCTGCTTGGAGGGCCATAAAAAGTTTTTGATCTCACCTCTGCATGGTTCTTCCTCAGGTAGACAAGCTCTTCCTTCAGACCCTCAATCTGCATCTCAAGGTCGGAGCGAGTCAAGGTGAGTTCGTCTAGAACCTTTCTCAGACCGGCGATATCAGCCTCCACGGACTGACGCAGGGCCAATTCATTCTCGTACCTGAAGCCGCAAAGAATAACAATGGTTAGGTTGGGAATCTAGAAAAACTCAAGTGTTAAAATGTGGGGTGTGACATTAACAAGCTCATAAAATGAGGGGAAACCCTTGCTGGGAATGAAAGATTGGTTTACCGGTCTAGACTGGTCTAAGCTGTTTTTTACTTAATAACCAGAATGGAGTGTGATCAGTGTTAGAACTATACCGTGGACTTTGCAGGAGCCCACTTGTTTTTGTTTTTTTATAACGGGGGGCGGGGGGGTGTTTGTGCGCTTGCGCCTGCCTCAAAAGAGTGCCATTAAGGGGAGCCTAGCTCCCCCGTAGTTCGCACGCTGAGTGTGATATTAAAGTTATATAAACTTCATGAAAAGAGGTTTTAAATGATGGAACTAGAAGGTAAAGGTTTTTGTTGTACTAACTTGACTCTGAAGTCCTCGGCTGCCAATTTGGCGTTGTCAATCTGAAGGATGATTCTGGCATTGTCCTGGCTGGCGACAGCGATCTAAAGACAAACAGATAAAGAATAGAAACTCCCTGACCTTTACACTTATATATATATATATATATATATCCATATATATTTTTATGTATCCATTATATTGCTTGTATATGTGTTCTAAAACATGTCTATATAGATTATTACTTTTTATTTATTACTTTTTAGTTGTAGTTACCTTATGACTTAAACTTGCTTTATGTCAGCTAGTTGCCAAGATAACATTTCTAGTCTTCATTTCTAGTTTAGATTTTTGTTTTGTTTTTTAAATATAACAACACTGGTGACATTATTATCCAAATATGGACATGCAGACCACAGGGATTGATCATCTTTTTTTTTATGTTTTAGTTTTATTAATTTACTGTTTTACGTCAATAAAATATAATGGTTATAGTACTATGGTCATAAGTAGTGTAGTTTGCTTTTCATTGAAATATTTTTCATTTCCACGTTGCAAATAATATAACTTTTATAGTTATGTAATGTAAAATTACTCACTTTTTTGCGCAGATCTTCAATGGTGACGTAATAGTGGCTGTAGTCTCTGGAAACAGGGGCTCTCTTCTCGTACCACTCCCGGATCTGGTGCTCCAGTTGCGAATTGGCTTTCTCCAGGGAGCGCACCTTCTCCAGGTAGCTCGCCAGACGGTCGTTGAGGTTCTGCATGGTGGTCTTCTCGTTGAAAGCCAAACCGAAGCCATTGTCACCTCCGCCGAGCGCGCTGGCCAGGTCGAAACCGCTCTTGCTACTTTGTGCGTAAGAGACGCGCACGCTGGAGCCCCCTGCACCTGCGTAGACACTTGGCGCATGACCGACGGCGATGCGCTTGGAGTATCCACCGCTGAGCGAGAGCGAGGTGAAGGGACGAGAGCTGGAGCTGGACAAGCTCTTGCGTGAAAAAGACTGGGTAACCTGAGTCATGGTTTCCGTTCCTGTTGCCTTTGCGCTTTGTTGGATGGACACCTCTGACAGTTGCTTAATGGTTTTGGAGAGCCAAGGATCTTTTTATACAGTTTGACCTTAGGGGTGTGTTTATTTCAGCTTATTTATGGGAATGATTATCGGAAAAGCATCAAACAGGTGTGTCCAGGGTGCCTCTGTAAAATGGCCCAGGACGAAGCCCTGAGGCACGCCTAACCTGACAAACACGATTTTATGAATAAACATTAATTCTAGGTTAATTCCCCAGAATTTAGTGTTTGATGTTTGATGATATTCCACCATTTTCATGCATGTGCATGCTATTTTTGTATAATATATAAAATATATAATAATGCAATATATAAAAATATAAAGTATAACAATTTATTAAATTAAAAAAATGTATATAAAAGTGCTTATTTTAGGTGTTATTTATTTATTCGAAAATATACTATTTTAAATATGTATAATTATTTTAATATTTATTAAAACAGACCTAAAATAAGCAATTCATTACATTTTAAATGAATTTGCTTTATGTCAAGCTTTATTAAAATGTAGTAGTAACATTTTAAATGAAAGTTGTTGTGAAGGGTTTCCCTTCCACCTGTGCACTGACCGTGACCGTATCTGATAAGGTTATTGCCCTGTTCGGTATGTGCAGAATGAGTAGCCTACTAAAAGCCGCAAGTTCACTATCAATGTCAGTACACACCCTTGATGATTAGATGTGAACGTATATGAGGAATATAAGCCTGATTTAACTGAATACAATAAAACAAGCTATACTTTAGTCACCGATAGTATGATGTTGATGCAACGCCGCTATTGCACCATAAACGGATGCTCTTTTAATCCAGCTCCAAATGAAAGTTTTGAAGGAAAATGTGACTCAGGTAATGATTCAGGTATGGGGGAAAAAAGAGCTCTCGCAAGATTTTTGGCCGTGACAATGTGAACTTTTACTTTTTCCCAGTCATTTAGCGTCATTATAAACCTATTCGAGTAAAGCACACTTTAACCAGCCCAAAGGCATGTAATTACAATGTTTTCGAGTCATGTGTATCTGTGATTATATGTCCCAGACACACCGTACAAAGGTGAGGTACAATTACACACGTACAAGATCGTGTTCCTTATGATCCATGTGCATAATTATTTTGTCTTTCACCTTTCCCATTGTCAGTACTCTCTCACTTTCGTACCTGTCATAGCTTAATGCCCTCATTCGCAGCTCTTTTCTCATACCCTAATGAGGGAGTGTCTCATTCTCTTATCTTTCCACTCCCGCCCGCATAGCTCGCCTCATCCAGACCGAGTCCAGCGCTCGTCTCTGAGGCGGATGTCTGGCGGTCTCTGGCGTGCAGGTTTCGGTCCGCGCCTTCACTCTCTCCCCTCTCACACACTTTCCATCACCGCTTTCGTGCATCACCACTCCCTTCGGAGTCATGACTTTTTAAAGGGGTCATATGATGTTGCTAAAAAGAACATTATTTTGTGTATTTGATGTAATGAAATGTGTTTATGCGGTTTAAGGTAAAAAAAACACATTATTTTCCACATAATGTACATTATTGTTTCTCCTCTATGCCCCGCCTTTCTAAAACGGGTCGATTTTTACAAAGCTCATCGTTCTGAAAAGTAAGGTGTGCTCTGTGCGTTGTGATTGGCCGAATACCTCAAGCGTGTGACGGAAATGTTATGCCCCTTGCCATATTGTGATGCCTTGTAGACAAAAACATAAAAAAAAAAACATTATAAACGAGGCATTTGTTGCATCCAGTGGGGACTTTTTACGCGTTGCATTGCATCATAAACATAAAACCATGTCTGCATTTGTGATGAACTGTTTTATAGATCTTCTTTATGCACCAAGAGCTAGTAACACTCCAAAGAGAAAGGAAAAATTCAAATCGCATCATATGACCCCTTTAAAACCCCTTTTGTTGTTGGTGGGTTTACTCATTTGAATCTTTTGTTTTGATTCAGGTTGGTTAGGACTAGGAGAGAGTGAGATTTTAAGAGGTTTTACGCGTTGTCTACAAGAGAAATGACAGAGATAAAACTTATTAAAGTAAACAAGTAAACTTACATTAGAGGAAAGTGTCTATAACATGTATATATTTATATATATGTATGTAAGTTTGTACATACTACTTAGGTATGTGTCATGTCAAGGGCTGAATTGGTTTACCACAAATAAAGCCAAAAAAACCATGGTTAAACCATGGTAACCACAAATTAACCATATAGTTTTGCTACACTAACCATAGTTTAACAATGGTATTTGTAGTAAAGCTGTGGTTATACAAATGGTAATCAATACGACAAAAAAACCATGGTTATTACACTTTTACTACAATAAAACCATGGTTATTTTTTGTAATATATAACTGATTACATAAAACAAATAATAAATAAATAAAAAAATTAGCATATGAGAAAAAATCTATTTGCATATCTTATTAAACACTTGTTTTGCTACTGATTATTCATATTTCAGTAAATAAAATGTTATTTTAGTAATAGTTTGGTGGTGAAACTCATCATTACTAGCTGAGCTACTGACACAGTTTCATTTCATTTCATTTCATTTACATCTGACACATTTTACCCAACCGTTTTTTTAAATATATACTGTATATTGTCACTGGCACAGTTTACCATTAATCATCTAAAATCACATTTTACCCCAGAGTTATTTTATTTTATTTTACTTTACTTTAGTCACTGGCACAGTTTACCATGAATCATCTGACACACTTTACACCACAAATATTTCTTTTATTTTATTTTATTTCTTTTATTTTAGCCAGTGGCAGTTTGCCATGAAGCATCTGACACCCTTTACCCCACAGCTGTTTTATTTTAAATAAAATATTAAATAAATTAGTTACTAAATAATTTATAATTTAATATGTTAAATTATAAATTATGTAAAATTTTATATTAATATTTAATATTAATAATGATTGGCTTATCAATATGTATATTTATATCTAATAAATAATTTTGTTTTGACAAAATTTGTTCAACCTGCCATTTACAAAATGTACTTTTGCCTGCAAAATTGTTTTCAGTACGCTCACGTGCACCTCTGAATCACCAAAAATACAGTGTTGTGTGAGGAAAAATGGTTCCCAAAGACGCATCTTACTTCAATCTCTTACAATACGTCATCGTTCATGTATAAAGGTGTTTGTTTTTGTCTTTAGTGTTGGTCCTCAGCCTAAAGAATGACCTTTGAATGAAATCCTTGCAGTATTCAGGTGTAAAGGCGATACTGGGCCGTGGTTTCATGTGGGTAAGATGATACTAGTAGGGGCAAATGGGTACCAAAACAACAAAATCTTGCGTCAGAAGTCGGACTGAGTTGCTTTTTCAGTGCAAGTGTAAACACTGAATAAGTTTACTATCAATAATAGATTTAAGTGTTCACGCTATGTAAAACACTCATCAGCATTTGTTAAAGGATTTACACGTGATTTTCTCTTGCACGCTGCTACCTGTCGGCTGACGTCCAAATTACCACAAAACCCTAAATGTGGTAACGTTTTAACTGTTCGATGCATCACTTCTGTTTACACAGCAAAGGTCATGTGGCTTAAAGGTCAACATAATGCCTCGGTAAGCCAAACCAATGGTTCATTTCGCCACACTGAACCTGTCGGACGAGTCTAAGTGTCATTTGAGTTATGTGCCCATCCTTTTTTGGTTTTAATCATCAAAGACACTCCTCAACATAATTATTTTCTGAGACTCGCAGTCTCTTTTCTCACCCGAGGCGACTGCCGACCAGTGTCAAAGCAAATTAAAGACTTCTTTTGTGAAGGGTTTCACTTCAAAACGTAACTTAAACCCTTTACATGCATGGGTTTTATTGATACCAGTGTTCTGGGCTCTCAGGTGACACTGCATTGTGGTTGAAGCTTGCAGTAGTTTTTGCTAAAAAGAACCAGTTTTCTTTGTTGTTTTTTCTTTTAATTACTTTAAAGTCTGACGTAATAGTGTGAATTGACATATAGGTTTAGGTATGATTTATGCAAATCTTTAATGACCAAGATAATTATGACAAATAGTCAAATTAATCTTAATAAGATTACATTTCATTCTGCGGTCAGCTGGTTAATTTTCTTTATTTGTAATTGATGATGTCTCCTCAGATGAATTTACTCTTTCTGGATTGATATTTATCAATTCATCCTTGTGTGTCTATATATATACTGTATATATATATATATATATATATATATATACATACACACACACACACACATTTTTTTGTATATTATCTAATAAATGACATATTATACTATAAAATCTATTATATATATATGTGTGTGTGTGTGTGAGTGTG